ACAGAGCACCCAAATTGAAACAACTGTATCAAACGGCCATACAGTTAGCAGGCCAAGCAAGACAATAGGCTTTTGAATTTAGCCAAATCAATTTGAACCAGGTACTTAGATACCAAAAACCTATTAAATTTAAATCTGATGGTTTTGACAACATAGGACCAATCCTATTAAAGAAATATTGATACATCAAGGATAAAAAGAAGGGGACAATTGGACGAAGATCCCCAAAGCTAGCTGCCATCCGCCAGAGCTAATGGCCCTCAGCTTTCAAGAGAGAATCACTGGCTCTCACAGCCTCCTCTATGTCTTACAGAAAGTACCAACTAAATAACAATGGTAACAACGGCACAGCTAGTTAATATTCCTGACAGAAGTCGACGGAGAAGGCAAAACATATTCTGAAAGGCATGTAACCTGGCTGTAATTTCCAGAGACTAAATACTATTGGGGGACTTCTATTTATTGGAACAGCATACCATTAAAATCTTGCTGTATTTGGTAATGGTTAGTGGTTAAAAGGGATTTATTCTGTTTGTTAATAGTTTAGTTAATCAATTTGTTCACTATTACAGTTAGATAAATAAATTTTTACTTGTTGATTTTAGAGAGAGTGTGTCAGGGATTTATTTTATTTACCCACCAGAAGTTGCTGAAAAGCAGGTTATACCACTTTTCACATTCCTTTTACAGATTGTAGGCAAACTGCTCCTCTGGGTGTTTTGGTTTTAGTTGTGCGGGGGGGGGGGGGGGGAACCTCCATTTTATAATAACAACAAAATCAAAAACAAAATAATTCAAATGGTCAAAATACTTGACACCAATTTTCAAATCCAGAGTTGCCTTCATTGAATTTAAATTCTAGCAGCCGCCCACGTAGGATCTAAACCAGTGCCAGCATCCCCAAAAATTAGTTTAGGCTTCTGGATTACTGATCCAGTGACATCAACATGCCACCATTCAGCAATGGCATTGCCACTGTTAGATTCTCTTTGTGGAGACAGTCCTTTCCTGACACGTGGTATGGACATTTACCATTTATCACCCCAAGCCTGATGTCATCCAGGTCATGCTACATATGGGCATCGAGTGCTTCAATATTTGAGACATCAAGAATGAAACACAAGGACCAGTCACCATCTTCACGTCCGATCTTCTGATGGAGCGAACGTTATTGATGGAGCAACTGAAGATAGCAGCAACATTCTGGAGCTCAGGTGACTGACCTCCAACATCCACAACCATCATCCTTTGCAACAGGTTTGGAGCAACTTACAGTTGTGGTGAGTTTTCCCTCCAATTTTTTTTTTTTTTAAAAAACTGTCTCATGGAACTTGGGCATCCCTGGCTGGCCAGCATTTATTGGCTCATCCCTTGCTGCCCTTGAGCTGAGTAGTTGGCTACATCATTTTAGAGGGCTATTGAGAGTCAACCACATTGCCATGGGTCTAAAGTCACATGTAGGCCAGACCAGGTGAGGATGGCAGATTTCTTTCCCTGAAAGATACGAGTGAGTCAGATGGGTTTTTCCTGACAATCAGCATGGATTCCTAATTCCAGATCTTCTTTTTTAAAATTGAATTCAAATTCCGGCATCTGCTGTGATGGGATTTAAACCTCGGCCCCCAGAACATTATGAGTGTTTCTGGACTAATAGTCTAGTATTACTAGGCCATCACCTCCCCATTAAATTCCCATTGATTCCAGTTTTACTGTGCTTCTTGATCCCAAGCTTGGTCAAGTGCAATCACGCTTATCTCAGCTCTGAAAATCAGCTCTTTTGTCAGTGCCTGGACTAAGGCCATAACGAGGTCAGGTGCTTTGTGACCCCGGTCGAACCCAAACTAAGTTAGTGAGCGGCTTATTCTTGAGCAAGTGCTGCTTAATGATTGAAAGTAAAACTATACAGCAGTAATTAGCCAAGTTAGGTTTGTCCTGTTTCTGGTGGGTAATGATCTGTGGTATTCTTTACCACAGAGGGCTGTTGAGACTGGGTTATCAAGTATATTCAAGGTCAGAGACAGAATTTTAATCAGTAAGCAAATCAAAGGTTATGGGGGAAAAGGCAGGAAGGCGGAGTTGAGGATCTTCAGATCAACCATGATCTCATTAAACGATGGAACAGACATAATGGGTTGAATAGGTTACTTCTGTTCCTATCTCTTATTGGTCTTAACTGGGCAATTTTCCACAATATCAGGAGATGCCAGTGTTATAGCTGTACTGGAACAACTTGGCCACAGGAACGGCTAATTCAAGAGCACAAGTCTTTAGTACTATTTCTGGAATGCTGTCAAGTCCTATAACCTTTGTAGTATCCAGTGCCTTCAACCATCACTTACAATCATGTGGAATGAATTAAATTAGAAGACTGGCACCTGTGATGCTGGGGATCAGGAGGGGACCGAGATAAATCACTCAGCACTCAGGCTGGAAGATGGATGGAAATGCTTCAGCCTTACAGTGGTGCTGGTCTTCCTCATTACTGAGGATGGGGATATTTGTGGAAGCTTGTCCTTCTATTGTGCAACAGCCCACGATCATTCACAACTGGATGTGGCAGGACTATTTAGCTTAGATTTGACCCTTTGGATATGCGATTGTTTAGCCCCGTTTGTTGCAAACTGCTTCTGCTGTTTTGCAGACAAGTCGCCCTACGTTGCAGCTGCATGAGGTTGACATCTCAATTTGAGATTGATTGGTGCTGCTCTTGGAATGCCCTCTTTCCTCCTCCTCCAACCTCCCCCAATATTCTTTTAAGCTTTCCTGGGTACTGAAAAATATCTCACATCCATAGTTTTTGTAAGCTGCTGGTCTATATGTAAAAAGATACAGAAGTCTGGATAAATTAGTACAGATCTTTTTAAACTAAACAACAACAAAAGCAGTGAGTATCAAAAAGCTGTGACAGGGACAAAATATGGCAGAACAATATGACAGTGAAGTGGGTACAATACATTCATTGTTTTCTCTATTACACAAATAGAGCCAGAGAGTCCGAGTTATACAGCAAGGAAGCAGGCCCTTCAATCCAACTCGCCCATGCCAACCAGCTATCCTATATAAATCTAGTCCCATTTGCCAGCATTTAGTCCCCATCCCTCTAAACCTTTCTTGTTCATATACCTATCCAGATGCCTTTTAAATGTCATAATTGTACCGCCTCACCACTTCCTCAGGCAGCTCATTCCATAAACATGTGAAAAAGTTGCCCCTCAGGTACCTTTTAAATCTTTCCCTTCCTCCCCTTAAACCTATGCCCTCTAGTTTTGGACTCCTCTAGCCTGGGAGAAAGACTTTGGCTATTCACCCTATCCACGCCCCTCACGATTTTATAAACGTCTAAAGTCACCCCTCAGCCTCCGATGCTCCAGAATAGGCTCCCAGCCTATTCAGCTTTTCCCTACAGTTCAAACCCTCTAATCCTGGCAACATCCTTGTAAGTCTTTTCTGAACCGTTCAAGTTTAACAACATCTTTCCCATAACAGGGACAAATGTCCCATTCAGCCACAACGTAACGTCCCAACACCTATACTCAATGCGCTGACCAATAAAGGCAAGCATACCAAACGCTGCCTCAGTACCCTGCCTATCTGCAACTCCACTTTTAAGGAACTACACTTCCGCAGCCCTAAGTCTCTTTGTTCAGCAACATTCCCTTGGGCCCTACCATAAATTTTAAGATGAAAGCTGCATTGAGAGAAATAGTTATCTGGTTGAAACTTGTGCATGTTCACCCAATGGGAATAAAGCAGCCGAAATTCATATTCTGTTCCACCTCAGTGAGCAATTTCTCCAAGATAAGAACAAAAAATATGCTGGAAAATTTCAGCGATCCATCGCCATCTGTAGAGGTAAACAGTTTTGATGAATGGTCATCAACCTGAAACATTAACTCTTTTGCTCCACTGATACTGTCTGATAGGCTGAGCCTTTACTACCGGATTTACAGGATCCACAGTGTTTTGCTTTTCAAAAGGTATTTTTCTGCTGCACTTTGGGAGAAGTTAAGAAATACATCATCATAGAATCCCTAGAGTGTGGAAACAAGCCCTTCGGCCCAACCAGTCCACACCAAACCTCAGAGCATCCCCTTGTAACCCACCTAATCTACACATCCCTGACACTATGTGCATTTTAAGCATAGCCAATTCACCTAGCCTGCATACCTTTGGACTGTGGGAGGAAACCAGAGCACCCAGAGGAAACTCATACAGACACAGGGAGAATGTGCAAACTCCACACAGACAGTTGCGAGGGGGTGGAATCGAACCCGGGTCCCTGGTGCTGTGAGGCAGCAGTGCTAACCACTGAGCGACCGTGCCGCCCTATGATGCAAAAGATGTAAATGTTTTGTCCAGAACTTAACCATATAGTAGAAATAACCATTGGGTAAAGTGAATAAATTCACAAAAGATATGCTTAAGGAAGTGGCCAGCTCCATGGATTCCCAAGTCAGTGCTCACAGCAGACCAAAATCCATTGTAATCATGTCATACCATAACATAGCAACACAAGATACAAAGACAAATACTAACCTCAGTTATGTTTGTGCTGTGGGGTGATATGAAGAGCAAATTTGTAATACATCAGTTGAAATGGACTTGAAAGCATCCCAAAAGGTAAAGAAAGTCTTTTTGCCAGGGCGGAAATGACTATTATGAGGGGGCATAATTTTAAGGTGATTGGAGGAAGGTATAGGGGAGATGTCAGAGGTAGGTTCTTCACACAGAGTGGTGGGTGTGTGGAATGCGCTGCCGGCAGTGGTAGTGCAGTCAGATACTTTAGACACTTTTAAACGACTCTTGGATAGGCACATGGAGGATAGTAAAATGTAGGGTAGATCCGAGTAGGATAATAGGTCGGCACAACATCGTGGGCCGAAGGGCTTGTACTGTGCTGTACTATGTTCTGTAGTAAATGATCCAATGGGTCATTCAGTTTCCAACTCTCCTTTGAGGACAAAGCAAGAGTGAAAAATCAATTAAAATAGAATACTTACATCATCGAGATCAGGAACATCCAGGAAATATTCTGGGTAGTTGTAAGAAATTCCCACATTGTTCACTGCAGAAAATTAAAACAGCATATTTAGGCTACATTGAACTCCTTCATCATGGTTTCCTAATGGGAAATTTTACTAAAGATTCAAATTGATGCATGGTAATGTAGAAAAGAGGAAAAAAGGAAAGGAGACAAGCATTTTACACTTGCATTCAATCAGGATAGATACCAGAATGCCAGACTTTGAACCCAAACAATTCCCTCAGTGTAAAATTGCTGTTCCCTTTGAAATGTTGTTTTTGTTTGTCCTGGAGGTGTGCAAAACAAAAATCTTCAACAGTATGTTTCTCTTTTTCAGAAATAAAGATTTAATTGAATTAATACAAATAAATTGACTTTTGTTTTTAAGCTCCATGCATTGTTAACAGGCAGGAAAAAAAAATCATGGACTTGTTTATAGTTATTCATTAATTCAATAATATTTGCAAGAATGGGAAATTTCTATGAAGATACACAACTTAGTAACAAATATTTCCTTACTGGTATACACCCACAGGAATAAAAGCTGTGCATACAGGTTAGCAGGATGCTCTCAGTACCATAAAATTTAAACAAAGGGATCTTAGTGATAATTGGCTTTATTACAATTAACATTTTCAACTTCGAAAGATGCACTGTACCTATCTCTCACAAAGTTAGAGTTCAATATAAGCTGCTACACCCAGTGACTATCTGGACAATGAGAGCATAATTTTTTCCCCCCCCAAAATGACATATGACAAAAGCATCAAACTAGTAGGATATGCAAAAGAAATGACCCCATGCAAGTGGGAAAGAAGGAAATAAGATTCCATATGGAAAGTCAAAAAAATTAGTGGGTTGAGGTGATGTAAGAAAACAAAAGAAGAGAAGGAAAGGGGACCATGGTGGCTCATTAGTTAGCCCTGCTGCCTCACAGCAACAGGGACCCAGGTTCAAATCCACCCTTGGGCGACTATCCATCTGTGTTTAGTTTGCACATTCTCCACATGTCTGTGTGGACTTCCTCTGGGTGCTCCGGTTTCCTCCCACAGTCCAAAGATGTGTGGGTTAGGTGGATTGGCCATGTTAAATTGCCCAGTGTCCAGGGATGTGCAGGCTCGGTGGGTTAGCCATGGGAAATGCAGGGATACACAGCGGATCCAGATTGGACACTCTTTGGAGGATCAGTGTAGACTCGAAGGGCCAAACAGCCTGCTCCCACACTTAGGATTTTATGATTCTACAAAAGATGATAAAGGAGAACTACTTATGCCAGTTAAATTACAAATCCTTTTTAAATAAGGCTCCAGGCATTGAAGCTGGTATAGGTCATTCAAATAAATATTTAAATGAAGTTAGGACTTTCATTTCTGAAAATTAAGTGCAATTTGCACGATCAGGAATCACCGATTTTGAGCAGTTGAGTCAAATTAAAGTAATCTTGTTCAGAATTAATATTCACAGCTGGAGAGCAATCATGTCAGCTCCAGGACATCTCTGTAGGAGATCCTCAGGATAAATGTTCAAGGCCAATCATTTCCAGCTGCTTCAATGACCTTCCCTCTATCATATGTTCAGAGGTGGTGATGATTACACAACGTTCAGCACCAATTGTGACTCAGATAGTAAAGCGGTTCATATCCAAATGCACCAAGAACTCAGCAACATTCCAACTTGAGCTGATTAGTGGCAAGTAACATGCATGCCCGAAAAGTGCCAGCCAATAACCATCTCCAACGAGAGAGAATCTAGTTATCAATCCCATCACGTTCAATGCTGTTACTATCTCTGGAGCCCCACCAAGGGGTTAGCATTGACAAGAAAACAAACTGGACCAGCTATACAAATATTGCGACTACAAGAGCAGGTTGGAAACTAGGAATTATGCGACAATTAGAATTAGCTTTATTGTCACATGTACTCACATGAATACAGTGAAAAGTTTACAAGTCGCCACTTACAGCGCCATCTTAGGTACAAAGGTACCTGGGTACAGATTCTTGGGTATAAAGCAGAAAGTAAAGAAACAAGGTTAAAAAGAAACAGTTAAAAGTTCAACACCACAGTCCATAAGCGCCTGGCCATGCTGGGCTTGCACTCCTCGCAAGGGTTTGACCTTGCCGCCGCCAGCCACCTCGGGCTGCATGTTCCCACCCTCACCACCAGCCGTCATGGCCCCTTGTCAAGTTGCATGTTCCTGGTCTCCCCCCGCTCAGGATAGCTACCATCAATGTCAGGGACCTTTCTCACCACCACATTGGTCTCACCCTCCCGCCCCCGCGCTGCACAAACTTGCACCTCACATAAGGTAGTAGATTAAACTAAAAAAAGTAGTGAAAGGACTAAAAAAAAACTAACTCACCGCTCGCTTCTTCCACCATTCACGGGTATGTGATGGAATATTTCCCCATGTGTAGGTTGCAACAGCACTATGGCTTTGGAAGTGTATTTTGTCCTGGGTTTTTGTTTGAACAGCGGTTTTGAGCCAAAAGTGCCAAGCCATCTCTAAGCCAAAGTAGTAAAGAGCTTGAGGGCCATTGGGTTATTTTGATTTTTAAAAGTTGGAACAGTAGAAGCAGCATGGGTGGTGTCAGGCTGTCACAGAACCAGGGTTTTAAGTTGAGCTTTCAGTAGCTGTTGGGGCTTTGAAGTTGGTTGTGGAAGCTGCCATACCTCTGCCTCTACCAGAATTTTCTCTTGGTGTTTTTCCTCCTCGACTGGAGAAACAGTGCATATGTAAGACAATATTTTATTGAATTTGCCTTTGCCAAGGGTGTATTTGTGGGATGTTAACAACTTGGAACAATTGCTCTTTAGTAGTTCAATAATCTATTTTTCTGTTATATTTTCCAATAGAGTTAAAGCTATACCAATTCTTCTTTCTTTTGTTTGTATTTTAATTGGTGGGTAAGAATAAAGTGTGCTTTGCTTAAAGCCAAGTAGTGTAACCAATCAAGTTAAATCTGGAACACAGCATCTTACACTTGTCTTTAAGATAAAAGTTAGCTTAGACCCTATCTCATCGATAAATCTGAAGCACAGCTCCAACAAAAGAAAAATCCAGGGCAAAGCAGCCTATTTGACTGACTTTCCATCCACCACCTTCACCATATCCCTCCAAAACTTTCCTTTACGTGTACTTACCAAACTGTCTCTTAAACGTTGCAATTGTACCCATTATCCACCACTTCCTCAGGAAGTTCATTCCACACAGGGACCATCTATAAAGCATTTGCCTCATATCTTTTTTAAAATCTCTCTCTCACCTTAAAAATGTCTTGAAATCCCCCATCCTGGGGAAACGAAAACTACCATTAACTCTATCTATACCCCTCATTATCTTGTAAACTTTTATAAGGTCGCCTCTCATCCTCATATTCCAGTTAAAGTCTCAACCCATTCAGCCTTTCTTTATAACTGAAGCCTTCCATATCCGGCAACATCCTGATAAATCTCTTCTGAACCCTCTTCAGCTTAATAACATTCTTCCTATAACTGGGCAACCAGAACTGGACACAGTATTCCAGAAGAGGCCTCACCAATGTCCTGTACAACCTCAACATGACGTCCCAAGTTCTATACTGAAAGGACTGAGTAATAAAGGCAAGTGTGCCAAATGCCTTTTTAACCATCCTTTCTATATGTGATGCAAGCTTCAAAAGAATTATGTACCTGCACCCTCAGGTCCTTCTGTTCTACAACAACACCCAACACCCTATCATTAATTGTATAAGCCCTACATTTGTTTGTTGCATCAAAATGTAATACCTCACATTTATCCAGATTGAACTCATCTGCCATTTTTCAGCCCATTGACCCATTTGATCACGGTCCCTTTGTAATCTTAGAAAACCTTCTTCCCTGTCTACAATGCCACCAATTCTGGTGTCTTCCGCAAACTTACTAACCATGCCTTCTACATTGTCATCCAAATCATTATATATAAATGAGAAACGAGATCCCAGGTTCAATCCCTGTGGAACACCACTGGTGATAGGCCTCCAGTCCAAAAAGCAACCCTCTACCACGAATCTGTCTCCTGCTGTTAAGCCAATTATGTATCCAGTTGGCAAGCTTACCCCGAATTCCATGACCTAACTTTACTAGTTAGTCTACCATGTGGAACCTTGTCAAAGGCTTACTAAAATCCAAATAAACAACCTCTACTGCTCCGCCCTCAATCTTAATTACTTCCTCAAAAAAAAACTCAATTGAGTTTGAGAGAGACGATTTTCCTCAAATCGATTCTGATTATCCCTAATCAATTTTTGCCTCAATCTTTTATAATCACCTCCAGCAATTTACTCACAACCAAAGTCAGACTCACAGGTCTATAGTTCCCTGGTTTCTCCTGACAACCTTTCTTAAACAAAGGTACAATATTAGCCACCCTCCAGTCATCAGGCACCTCACCTGTAGTTATATTTATAGATGATGCAAATATTTCTGCAAGAGGTCTCACAATTTACTCCCTTACTTCCCACAATGTTCTGGGATACATTAGATCACGTCCTGGAGATTTATCCAACTTTATATTCTCGAAGATCTCCCAAACCTCCTCTTCTGTAATGTGAACTGTTTTTAAAACATCAAAATTTATTTCTCTGCATTCTCTAGACTCCATTTCTTTCTCCACAGCAAAAACTGATGCGAAATATTCATTTAGTATCTCTCCCAGCCTCTGGGGTTCAACACAAAAAGACCTCCTTGAATTTTAAGAAACCCTACTCCCTCTCGTTACCCTCGCGCTCTTAATGTATTTGTAGAACCTTTTTGGATGATCCATAACCTTACCCATCAATGCTATGTCATATCCCCTCTTTGCCTTCCTGACTTCTTTGTTAAGAATGCCCCTACACTCTTTATATTGATTAAGAGATTCAATTGAACCAAGTTGTCTATACCTAAAATAAGATTGTCTTTTATTTTTGATTAGAACCTCAATATCTTTATTTATCCATTTTTCCTCAATCTTACCTTCACTATCAGGAACATAATGCCTCTGAACTCTCGTTATCATGCTCTTAAAAGCCTTCCACTTATCAGACATTCTTTTACCTGCAAACAGTGTACTCCAACCAACTTTTGAAAGCTCTTGTCTCATACCATTAAAATTTGCCTTAGTCCAATTAAAAACTAACTTTTATGGAAGGCTTATCCTTTAGCATACCCATTTTGAAACTAATTGATTTGTGACTGCTAGTCCCAATGTGTCCCCCCACTTTTACTTCAGTCTCCTGCCCTGCTACTTAAGGCATTATCAGCAAAGCTAGAATTACCCATGGGCATTAATAAACGCAAGTCAGGATCAAACCTCTCACCACACCACCATCCACCAGCCCCCCACCACACCCCCGCCCCACATCAATCATAGGGTCCTCCTTTCTGTTCCTCACTTCCCAGCCCACCAGCCTCTGCATTCAAATGATCCTAAGCTGACACACCCAGCGAGATGCCATCACCAGACATATTTCCCTCCTCTCCCTTTCAGCCTTCCGCAGGGATCATTCCAGGGATCACTCCCTAGTAAACACAAATCTTGTCTTGCCCTGCACCTCTAAGCATACATCATCCTTTCTCCCTAATAGGATCTATTTCTTCCTACACATTCACTATTTATAAGCCAGTTGAAAATTTCTGAATTTTCTTTTAAGTGTGATTCCATTCAAATATTCTATTTCTGCCAACCTTAATTTAAACTTCACCTCCCTCAACTTATTATATTTAGCCTGGTTTTCACTTTGCATGCATCATGCACCCTTTTTCCATTTCTTCATATTCTGCATCCTAGCCATCAACGAAACCCTGGTTTTAGTTGTTGGAAAGTAACTAGGTGCAACTGAAAAACCTTAAAATTACCCACTATTCTATTGATATTTCCAATCACACCTCACTCCCATCAGTCTGATTGCAGTTATCCTAGTTAAATTTTTTTATCCCATTGAAGCAAGCCCTCTACCAACTTAGAATTTCTACTTTAATCATTCCTTGCACTTGTTATTAATCTAAAAACAATTTCGATGCATGATCACTCTTATCCAAGTATTCCCTCGAAGATATTTAGACCACCTTGATCATTTCCTCCAGCACCACATCCAGCAAAGTCTCCTTCCTAGCAGAACCAAGACCATACAGGTCAACAGAGTTCTCCTATACATGTTTCTTCCCCTCTCTTTTCCCTTTACACTAACATCAATTACCTGAATATCAATGGGGATAAAGCCTTCTCATTACACCTCTTGCATGTTCAGTTTCCCTGCAAATTAGCTCTTTTTTACTTTTTAAATTGTATCAAAGGAATAGCCCCCAGGTAGAGTGATCATCCTTTTATTTCTCAACTGCATTCCTCAAAAACAGCCTCTCTTTCCACTCTATTCTCCCTTCCCTGTACGCAATGTACAGATTTCCTCCACCTAGACCTTACGAAGTAACAAAAAAACATACCAAGTAAAATGTCTTACACCCAGGGAAAACAAAAATGAATAAAACTGCTGCAGCAAATCCTTTACTTGCGGAGACTTAGTTTGCAAAGTGGTAAATCATTGCAACGACCAATATTTTATAGTGCAAATTTCAAAGGAAATGTAGTTCAACTGGAGTCAGAGGATGACTTAATGGGAGGTAGGACTCAGTAAACATTACTTAGCTGGCATTAAAATGAAGCAATTTTTTAAATAAAAGTTCAAAGCAAAAAAGGGTGGATGGGATGGGGGCAATGTAGGGAATTGCAACACCAGTTATTCAGGAAACAAACATGAGTATCTGCTGTGTGGAGGCTTGCTGTACCCCAGAGGAAACGAACAGACAAGATTCACTAGCAAGCATAACATTCAATGTTAAATCCCTCCCTCTTACAGAATTAAAGCAGCATCCTGTTTTTAAGAAGTCAGAAAACATTTGTTTTTAAGTACACGCAATAGTGCAAGTTGAGGCTCGAGGATTGTAAGCAGGGAAGCAGGAATTCTACCTACTTTATTCAAGGGTACATACCTAGAACGCCAATTTCTAGACAATCCAGGCCAGCTTCAATAACCTTGTAAATTTCAGTTCCTTCTCCAAAATCCAGTGCAAGAGTTTTTGTTTCAACTTTGAATTGCTCGCCTAGAAGAAAAGAGAACGTTTGTCCATATTACAAGTTACTCCATGGCTCTTTGTAGTAATGCATGGAACCAGTTTCAAGATACATGAACCACATAGTCAAGTGTTACAGCGCAGGCAGCCAATTGGCCCATCTAGTGCCAATTTTGTTCTTTCCCTATAACCTCTCCCATTTGTAGCCAAATCATCCAATACACCCCAAATATCTCAATTGAACTTGCCTTCACCAACTTCCAAACAGTGTATTCAAGACCTTAAGAATTCAGAGAAAAGGATCTTCTTGCTTCACATTCGCTTCTTTTACAAATCCATTTAAATCTGTGCCACCTGGTTCTTAACGCTTTGGGACAGTTTCTCCTGATCTACTCTATCAAGCCCGCTTATGATTTTGAAATCTTCTATTAGATCTCCTCTTAGCCTTCACTCTAGAGCAAACAGTCCGAACCTGTTGCATCTACCTAAATAATTGAAATCTACCAACCCTGGAACCGTTCTTGCAAATTGCTCTTGCACTCTCTCTAATGTGTTCAAATCCTTGCTATAACATGAATCCTAGAACTATACATGGAACAGGCAGTCCCTGGGTTGCAAACGGGTTCTCAAGTCCCTTCATAAGTCAATCTGTACAGAGCAAGTGGCAAATCGGAACTCAATTTAGAGTCATACAGCATGGAAACAGACCCTGCAGCTCAACTCATCCATGCTGAACAGATTTCCTAAAACTGAATCTTTCCTATCTATGTACCAGTGTACCTCTTAAAATGTTGCAATTGTACTCGCGTCTACCACTTCCTCTGACAGCTCGTTCCATATATACACCATCCTCTTTGAAAAAGCTGCCCCTCAAGTCCCATTTATATCTTTCCCCTCTCACCTTAAACCCATGTCCTCTAGTTTTGGACTTCACTACCCTGGGGAAAAGACCTTGGCTATTCTCACCTTATCTATACCCCTCAATGGCTTTATAAACCTCTAAGGTCACCCCTGTCTCCTACACTCCAGGGAAAAAGGTTGCAGCCTATTTAGCCTCTCCTTACAATTCAAACCGACCGCTCTTGGTAACAACTTTGTAAATCTTTTTTGCACACTTTCCAGTTTAACAACATTCTTCCTATAGCAGGATAACCAGAACTGTATACATTACTCCAAATGTGGTCTTACCAAAGTCTTGTACAGCCGTAACATGACATCTCAAACTCCTGTACTCAATGCTCTGACCAAAGGCAAGCGTTCCAAAAGCCTTCTTCACCACCCTGTCTACCTGTGACGCCTTTCAAGGAACTACGTACCTCCACCTCTAGATCGCTGTTCAGCTCTGTACGTCCTAACATTAACTGTTTAAGCCCTTGCCGTTCATCGGACCACTGGCTCAATTGATCAAGATCCCCTTCTGCACTGTCCACTGTACCACAATTCTGGTTTCATCCACAAAATTACTAACCATGCCCTTGGCTTCGTTGCTCAGACCATTGAGTCTCAGAGTTGGGATGCCATATTGAGCTTGTATAGGATGTTGGTGAGGCCACTTCTGGAGTACTGTGCACAGTACTGGTCACCCTGCTGTAGGAAGAATATTTTAAATTGGAGAGGGCTCAGAAAATATTTACAAGAATGTGTCGGGGACTGGAGGGTTTGAGTTATAAGGAGGCGCTGATTAGGTCACAATCTTTTCACTGGAGGGTGGGAGGTTGAGAGGTGACTTTATAAGAGGTTAAAAAAATGAGGGGCAAAGATAAGGTGAATAGCAAAGATCTTTTCCCTAGGGTGGGTCAGTTCAAAACTAGGGGACATATTTTTAAGGTGAGGAGCAAGATTTAAAAGGGATCTGAGGGGAAACTTTTTCAGAGGGTGGTTCATATTGGAATGAACAGCCAGAGGCAGTGGTCGAGGCGGGTATAATTACAACATTTAAATGACATTTGGACAGGTACATGAATAGGAAGGGTTTAGAGGGTAACAGGCCAAATGCAGGCAAGTGGGATTAGTTTAGTTTGGGGAACTTGGTCGGCATTGCCAGGTTGGACTGAAAGGTCTGTTTCCGTGCTATGATTCTCTGCCTCCTATATTTTCATCCAAATCTTTTATATAAAAGATAAACAACCGTGGACCAGCAGCAAAACTTGTCAAACACCACTGGTCACAAGCCTCCAGTATGACGACTCTGTCTTCTACTGTCAAGCCAATTTTGTATCCAATTTGCTAGTTCTCCTTGGATCCCACGTGATCTAGCCTTACCAACCAGACTACCCATACAGAACTTGGCTAAAGTCCATACAGATAATGTCTACCACTCTGCCTTCATCTATCTTCTTGGTCACATCTTCAAAAATACTCAAATTGGAGATATGATTTCCCATACACAAAGCCATGCTGACTATCCCTAATCAGTCCTTGCCATTTCAAATGTACATCTATCTTGTCTCTCAGAATTCCTTCGGACATCAGCTCACCGGTCTGTAGTTCTCTGGCTTTGCCTTGCAGCCCTTCTTAAATAATGGCACCACATTAACCACCCTCCAGTCATTTGGCCGTGGAGAATACAAATCTCTCTGCTAGGGGCCCCACAATTTCTTCCCTAGCTTCCCACAATGTCCTGGGATAACTTGATCAGGTCCTGGGGATTTATTTGCCTTTATGCTTTTTAAGGCCCCCGGCACCTCCTGTTCTAATGTGAACTGTTTTCAAGACATCACTATTTATTTCCCTAGAGTTCCTTAGCTTCAATGTCTTTCTCCATAGTAAATTTGACAAAATATTTGTTTAAGAGCGCACCCTTCTCGCGTGGTTCCACACACAGATGTAAATCAACGTGAAGCAGCCTTACATAAGTACGGGACATGATCACATCAGGTTTGTAAAATTGCACCCCGTACGGGATCACATTCATAAAATCGGGGACTCAGATCTGACAAGTGTCTTGAATAGTTGAAAGTTCAATGTTATCTCCTTGCTTGTGTTCTTTGCGTCCATATCAATAACAAATTGTTATAGTAGGAGTTTAGCCTACATCTCCATTCTTCGCAAGAAATATTGGCTGAATAATTTTTCAAACAAACTAAGGAGTTTTGAATATTTATCTTCTATTTTGCACTTCAAACAAAACAACTATTCTAAGCATTCATTGATTTTCAAATAGCTACAAAAAACATAAGTAAATGGAAGTCTAATGCTGCCAATGGCTCTAATTATGCAGACTGCATACAAAACTGACATAAGGAAATTCAAATTTCCTATCATCGTAGACAAAGAGGGTTGCACCTGCAATAATACTGGTGTGATTCAGGTCTAGATTTGAAGTTATATTAACGGTATTGCACTTAGATAATTGTTCTAGAGCATTACATTAAAAGACAACTAGCAGTTTCTTCCTGTCTAAAGTCTAAGCCATTAAACTTGTACCTTTGCAGGCCACTAGTAAGAAAATGGACTTCTAACTGCCCATGAGAACACTAATTATTGGAGTGAACAGGGTTTAACCTTAAAGGTGTTTTGTTACTTTAGGCCATACCTATTCAACAATACCCTACCCTCAGTGCTGGGGTGCTTATACATGACATCATAATCTCTTTGGTCTTCAGCACTATCTTGAAAACTTGATCACTACATTTACAAATATCTAGGGGAGTCTTTATTTGTTTGAGTTTTGGAGACCTCCCAATGATATTTCAATGCTAAGCTGCTGCGGCATGATACTGTTGAAGCAACCACACCCTCATTTAGGTGCCAGATTTTCATGCTCCAGCTGATTTCGGTCAGATTAAAAGTTCCTTCTGGCACTGCTAGCACTCCACACCTACCCATTATTCACTCTTTGGCTAAGTTAATAGACCAGAATATATTGGGATATTTCGTCATTTAAATATAACATGTTTCATAAAAAAATAATTCTAGGAATTAATTTACTGATATACCACTTACACAAAGGACTAAAGAAAGATTAAACAAGTCAAAATTACAAGCAAGCTCTTGTAGGGTCATTGTCAAGTACTGATTCATAGTGCCAAAGTCAAGCCCATGGCACTAACGGACCACCTAGTCAGGGAGGAGGACAAAGGATGGAAGAACGATAGAGAATCCCATAGTCAGATCAGACAAGCATTTCTGTGGCAACAAATGTGACTATGTTGCCTCCCTAGTGCTAGGGTTGTGGTGGTCATGGAACAGCTGGTCATCCTTCTGGGGAGGGGAAGAATTAGCCAGAAGTCACGGTTCACATTGGCATGAACAACATAGGTAGGAACAGCGATGAAGTCCTGAAAGCAGATTTCAGGGAGTTAGTAGGGAAATTAAAAGCGGGACATCAATAGCAGTAATCTCAGGATTGCTCCCAATGCTACATTCTAGCGAGCTTTAAAGTAGGAGGTTTGATTGATTTAATATGCAACTGGAGAGGGTGGGGAGGGGCACCAGATTTCTGAGGAATTTGACCTGTTCTGGGGCAGTTGAGACCTGCTCACGCTGGTCAAGTTAGACCTCCACAGGACTGGAACGGTAACCTACACAGTGAGATTTTCTAGTGCTGTTTTTCAAATTCAGTTTTTGGTGGGTAGGAACCTGAGGGGATAACCTCAGAGGTAAATTAGAAGGAAGTTGGTAACAGGAAGTCAAATAACCGCCAGAGAGACTAGAAGATATAGTATGCTTTGAAAACAGAATAATGTCAAAGAGTCCAAGTTAAGGGCACGCTACCTGAATAATCATCATTTGCAATAAGGTAGATGTTCTAAAGGAACAAATAGATATGCAATATATCTAACTGCATTGACAGAAACATGGCTGCATGGTGACCAGGACTGGAAAGCAATTATTCAAGGATATTTGATGTTTAGAAAAGCCAGACACGGAGGAAGAGGTAAGTCATGCTAATAAGGCGGGATAGAATCATCACATCAGGAAGCAAAGATCTCAGATTGGAAGAATAATGTGCGAGATCTTTTGGATGGAGCTAAGAACCTGCAAGGGACAGCAGACATTGGGTGGTGTTATTAAATACCAGAACTTGA